ACTTCATATTAACTATCTTCCGTAACATAAACTTCATATTAACTATCTTCCGTAACATAAACTTCATATTAACTATCTTCCGTACCATAACCTTCATATTAACTATCTTCCGTAACATAACCTTCATATTAACTATCTTCTGTAACATAATCTTCACCATAACCATCTTTTATAACACAATCTTCACAACAGTAACTATCTTCCGTACCATAACCTTCATATTAACTATCTTCCGTACCATAACCTTCATAATAACTATCTTCCATAACATAACCTTCATATTAACTATCTTCTGAAACATAACCTTCATATTAACTATCTTCTGAAACATAACCTTCACCACAACCATCTTTTATAACACAATATTCACAACAATGACTATCTTCCCATCTCTAGTACGTGTGTGTGTTCAGCTAATGACACTATTTCATCTGTGGTACGTGTGTGTGTTCAGCTAATGGCACTATTTCATCTCTAGTACGTGTGTGTGTTCAGCTAAAGACACTTATACTCTCTTTAGTATCACAACCAGCCCCAAGGATATACTATGGCTTTGGACATTCTCAACCAGATTTTTACGGCAGCATTTGCCCTGGAGTTTGTTTTGAAAGTGATGGCTTTTGGATTCAAGGTAAAGGCATATAATGAAGATTCAGCCAAATACATGTATTAATTTCATGAAAGATGTACTTGTATTGTAAAAAAAAAACAACAGTTGGCTCTGACTTGATTAGGCAAGTGTGTAGCAACAGTGTGAATGGTTATTGATTCTTTTACCTCTCTTGGCTTTTAAGTTATTGTAAATAAAATTATTTAACACCAGAATGGTACCTTTAGTGACTTAGAGTCAATTTAAGCATATAATTTTCTGTATTTGTATATTATGTTAAATATTTGTTTTTGACTGTGATATAAAAACTCTTGAAACTCAGACCTACGACATCAATATATGAAAAGATTAAACAAAGGTAATGAGTATAGCCAACGATTATTCCAATGCTATTCTAAAAGATGTATATGTATTTGGAATAATACATTCTGCCATCTATTGTTTAAATTAAAAACTAATAAATGATTAATACACTAGCAATTGCTGTGTTGAATTGTCAGCAGTTTGATACGTAATATACTTGCTTAATGATTTATATCTAGATATTAAATTCTGTATTTTTTAATGTATAATGATGGAAGACTCGTGGTATCATATTGCCGACATGTACAACATTTTGAAAGTGCAAAATTAAGTGATGAAAAACATTTAAAAAGGTTCCTGTATACAAGATTAAAACAACAAAAGAAAGTTATGATGTTGGAAATAATTTGAAATATGTTTTTTTGAAAAACGAATACTTAAAAGCACCAAATTAATTTGAAATAAAAGATATTGCTTAGAAATAGTAAATCAAGAATGAAGAAGTATTTCAAAGGGGAACAGAGAAATCTAACTTCTTATTTCGGGATGCCTTTCTCACTAAAAGTTGTATTATTCTCTTCTTTAGGTTTTTAAAAATGTTCATTTTGAATAATTAAATGTATTTCTAGCTGAACTTTTATCCATTCGGTGATTTTTTTTTCAGAATTATTTTGGTGATCCTTGGAATGTATTTGATTTCATCATTGTTCTTGGCAGCTACATAGATATTCTTGTCTCGGAATTAAATGTAAGTTTCTTTTTAATTACACTTAGAGATGGGAATATTTGGAAAATTTAGTAAAAATGTATTCTTCAAAAATACCGATGGAGTAAAGAAAAACAGCATAAATAATGCCTTAAGGCTTATATGTAAAATAAAGGTAAAAACAGGATTTCCTTAGTTTGGAATGTGTTCGCTTTTAGTGCAAAATTTATGAAGCATTAATCAAGTTCTGTATTTAGATGTACTACAAACCAATTTTACAATGTGTGTGTTACTGTTAAAGAATATAGTCACCCTGACAGTTGTGTTACAGGAGACATTTACTGTGAAGATTGTGTTATGGAGGATAATCACTGTTGTGAAGATTGTGTTATAAAAGATGGTTGTGGTGAAGGTTATGTTTCAGAAGATAGTTAATATGAAGGTTATGTTACGGAAGATAGTTAATATGAAGGTTATGTTACGGAAGATAGTTATTATGAAGGTTATGGTACGGAAGATAGTTAATATGAAGGTTATGGTACGGAAGATAGTTACTGTTGTGAAGATTGTGTCATAAAAGATGGTTATGGTGAAGATTATGTTATAGAAGATAGTTAATATGAAGGTTATGTTACAGAAGATAGTTACTATGAAGGTTATGGTACCAGCTAATGGCACTATTTGTGTGTGTTCATCTCTAGTACCAGCTAATGGCACTATTTCATCTCTAGTACGTGTGTGTGTTCAGCTAATTACACTATTTAAACACACAC